TGCGACATTACTGTCGGATCCAATATAGTCAGAACAGCATCGCCTTTTTTAATCTTTCTGAAAATCCCGTGTCGAATTGTGCCTTGTTTGTAAACGAATCTGCGGTAAAATGAAGTGAACAAAAGACTGTGTTCTTACTGACGCGGTCTGGATCTTCATAAAAATAAAGTTCATTCACTCTTTCCTAATGTTGGGATCAGAAGGAAGGCAATGCAGACACTGTTCTTCCACAACTTGGCACTGCACAGCATCTTGTTGTTGCTCTTCAGAGCATCTTTATCGTTTGGTTTCTGTGTAGACCTGCGCCTCTCTCATAAACACTACATGTGTGAATCAGTGGGCGGGGCTAAACAGACAGCGATGTAGAAGCAGGCGTTGATCATCTTCTGCGGAGGCAGAGTTTATCCACACTATTACATCATAGAGTAGAACATTCCAAAAGCGGTCGTTTTGGCAGACTGGCTTCAATATAAGCTGTTTTTAGAATAACGAGAAAGTTTTGAGTTCTGAAACTTACAGGATGTTTTTATAGAACAATGACCAAGGGAATTTTGATTTCTCAGTTCATGACCCCTTTAAAATCACACTTTAAATCACTCAGCAGATCAAATCTCAGTCAATATCTCAGCATATTGACTGAGATTTGTTCTGTCTCCATCAGGAAATCCTGGGCGGGATGCTGGACCTGGAACCGAGACGATGGCGGAAACCGATACGTGAGAATTTCGACGACCAGCGTAAGAAGGTTCTGAAGTTCGCTCAGTGGTGGAAAGCGTTTGACTGCACTAAAACCGACAGCTAGACACTGAGACGGTGCGCTTCCTCAACTCTATAGAGATTTTTCCGTACTTGAATTGTAATTTTAGAGGGCTTGTCATGTGTACATGGCTCTAGTATCTAAAGTAAAATGTCTAGAAAATAGTCATTGAAACCAGGCATGCTTTATCTGGTCTGAAGATTTTTATGGGACCCTTTTCATGTTTCACATCTAGGTAAATGTTTTGTTTTTTTAATTAAATATCAACCCAGGAAATATTTGGTTTTCTCTTAAATATAATACCTGCTCTCGTCCAGTGTTGATGTAAATCATGTTTTCCTGAGCAATTAAACTCAGAATAAAATATTACAAGACCTCCAGCCGCTCAGCTGATTATGTGCTCTGGCTTTATAAGCTGATTATGTTTAGATGACGTCTCGCTCCTCGTTCCTGTGAACCTGACCTTGAGTTCACCCTGAGCACCGATCATCTGTGGGGTGATGTTGTTTAATTTAGTGAAAGAAAGAAATCTATTTTGTTTTTATAACTATATTTTAGGCTGTGCTAACATGCACATTAAACTCTTATGTTGCAAATGAAGTTTCTTAAAGAAATCTGCTTTAAAAAAAAACATTAAAGAATTCAAATTTGCATTGCATAGAAGACAAAACACCACAAAAATATTTCGTTCTGAGAAAAAACAGAATTGCAAGCTATAAAATTACATTTGCAAGATATAAACTTGCAATTTTGAGAAAAAAATCAGAATTCCAAGATATTAACTTTTTTTCTCCTGCAATTCAGTTTATATCTCAAAAAAAAAAAATGTAATTGCGACTTCTTAGCTCACAAGTAATTCTATGTAAAATTTCACAGAAGTAAATGTAAAACGTTTTTTTTGTTTGTTTTTTTTACATTTTGCAGTTCTGAATTTTTTTTCTCATAATTCTGATTACATATCACAATTCAGTTCAAAATAAAATTCAATTCAAATTTCACAAAACTTCTGGCACTTTTTCTTGCAGTTGTGAGTAAATCTAACACACTTTTCTTCTAAGGATTGCAAGTTAACAAACTCAGCATTGTGCGAGATAAACTCAGAACTGCCAGAAAGAAGTCATTATTTATTAAACGTTTTAATTTTTTTAACCAAACAAGCTTTCATAAAAAAAAGACAATCATGTAAAGGTAACTTTGCTCGTACAGTTATAAGCATGATTTGTATTTTATGTAATTGCATGAGGAGAGCAGCTGTTGTGTTGGGGTCAGAATGACAATAGGACTCGGTCTGTAACAGCAGACGAGCTGATGTTTTATGAGGGTGTTAAACAGCACTATCACAGATCGCTCAGGGTCACAGGTGACGGTGGAAGTCATGGTGGCGTGACCTCACAGCTGCTGTAATGTGAGTGTTTTATTGTTCATTCATGTGGCATTACAGACATTAACACACACACACAAATAATTACAACACGGATTTGCACAATTTGTCACGAAGTGCTACACAGACTGGCAGCATGAAGATCTCCATTCCATTTACAATGGAGGCATTTCTCCAGTAAATGTCACACACAGGTAACACAACTAATAAACAACAGTTATGTAAGATAAGTTCTAGATTGTGTATGTGAATTTTGCTAAATGTGAGTAATTTGAGCAAATCTGATTATATAATTAACGAGCTATACAATTTATTTGTAGATACTTTTGCCCCAGTCTTTATCTTAATTCATTAATGCTTCTTTTTGTAATCTTACATCAAAACAAAATGAAATAATAACAAAATGATTACAAATGTAATGAGTAAGTATATAGATATATTTGTGCATATTGTCTATAATACTGTGTATATGATAGCAAAACAGCAATTGTACTAAATGGCAAGTAACACTTTCTAATCTTGATTAACAAAAACATTTATATAATCAGATTATAATTATGTAATCAGATTTGTGGTCCCACTTATTTCAGTTGGTATGAAATTAAAATTCAACCTATTTTCTAAATGCATGTCATAGGATCGTATTGTCTTATTTTGGACAAATCCATGTATATATATATATATATTTTTTTGTATTCTTATTTTCCACACACACACATATATACAGTATATACTGTGTGTGTATATATATATATATATATATATATATATGTGTGTGTGTGTGTGTGTGTGTATACATATATGTGTGTGTGTGTGTGTGTGTGTATTATATATATATATAAATATATATATAAAAAAATGTTAGGATCATAATTTTTATTAAAAACGTCTAGAATCATGACTTTAAAACCCCCAGTCATACAGGCAGTTCTCAATCAATTCCTGATGAATAAAATCAACTGAATTACTAAAATAATGATTTCCAAACAGGTTTCCACACAGGTCCTCCAAATACCAAGTCCTAGTGTTTTTGCTTGTTTTAATGGCCCCAAAAGCCCAAAACAGCACAAATAGCATGAAGTGAGTGGCAGGACTATCAGTTCTTGAACAATTGCTCATGGAAACTTGTTTGTAAACAGTTATTTTTACAATTCTGCTTGCTTTTGGCACAGAAATGACATGCTTTATCTTTAATGATTAATTTGAATCCACTTGCTTAGACTGTCATTGTATTCATGCACAATGAATGTTAAATAATGTTTTTTCAGTATGTTTTGAATTTGTATTTTTTTAATTTTTTTTTACAAATGGCACTGTGTTAGTTTATTTATACGCACTCAGACAGACACAAGGCTGTTCCCGTGTTAATATGTGAACAAAAACAGGAAGAACGGGGAAAGTGGGTCAGACTCAGGAGCGGAAAGAGGGATGCTGGGAGAAGAGAGAAGGACTAAAAGAGAGGAGAGAGAAGAGAAATATCCGGAAGGCATCGGAGGGAGAGAGAGACGCACACAGTCTTCAACCTTCACTCCTGCTAACATGACCTGACTGTCTGTGTCTGTCTCTCTCTCTCTCTCTCTCTCTCTCTCTCTTTCTCGAGGACCTGCGCTCTCTCTTGCATTGTGGATGAACAGAGCACTGTCTGTGAAGGGTTTTAATTATCCAGGTCAATGTAGCATTCAAATACACATGCTTTTGAAATATTTAATATGTGGTGTTAAACATTATATTATTATAATTAAAGAAATTTAGAGAAATGCAGCATTGCGTCACTTGCTCACCAATGGATCCTCTGCAGTGAATGGGTGCCGTCAGAATGAGAGTCCAAACAGCTGATAAAAACATCACAATAATCCACACCACTCCAGTCCATCTGTTAACATCTTGTCAAGTGAAAAGCTGTGTGTCTGTAAGAAACAAATCCATCATTAAGACAGTTTAACTTTAAATCTCTTCCGGCTGAGTCCATAACGCTTCCTCCAGTGAAAAAGCCCATCTCCTATTGTCTCACATCAAAATCCACACACATATTTGTTTAGAGCTGTTTTGGCTTGTAAACGCTGCTTGATCTGTGCAGATTTCTTTCCTGATTCAGACCAGAACACGTTTTCACTGGAGGAAGTGTTATTATGGATTATGGACTCATTGATGGATTTATTTCTTACAAATATGCAGCTTTTGTCTTCTCCAGATGTTAACTGATGCACTGGAGTGGTGTGGATTATTGTGATGTTTTTATCAGCTGTTTGGACTCTCATTCTGACGGCACCCATTCACTGCAGAGGATCCATTGCTGAGCATAGAATTGTAGTCTTTCTGCTGAAATTGAATCATAATTGAATCATCTCTTTAATTCTCATTCATGCCCTTGACAACAGCACATGTGAGTGCAAAAATGTTGGTCACGAGATTCCTAAGGTGCTTTTGTCCATCTACTTAATTATTGTTTTCGCCCCTTTTCATTTAATTATTGTAAACAAAAAATGTCTGCATCACTCCAAAACATGCTTCTTTAATTGGGCTTTTCACACCTACATCACAAAGCACCCAGAATTAATTACACATTTACCTAAATTCTGATTAATACAGGCCTGTTTCGATTTCTAGATAACGGGATGTTAGAATAATTCTCAGTGCATGCCATTACAACATGGTCAGTGTAACCTAAAATCTGTGATTACATCTGTGAAAAAAGGGATTACAGTGCCTATACTTGCAATGTTTAATACGGCCACTGTGATATAAAGTGTGAACAACATTGCTTTGCATGCTCTCTCTCTCTCTCTCTCTCTCTCTCTCTCTCTCTCTCTCTCTCTCTCTCTCTTAGGGGGGTGTAGAGGCTTTTTGCTTTATGTTAACCGATTGGCTGTTTCTTAGTTCTGTGCGCGCTGTACGGTGGAATAGTCTATTTCTCTTCTTTACGCGCATCTGGACGCGACTCTCCCCGCGTCAAACCCGATCATGAGGTCTCCGGGGGTCTTCATCGGTCTACGGAGCTGCTGGGTCACCGACGGGATCCGGTAATACGAACACCCCTCTCTATCCCACCCCACGCCCACGCGGACAGAATCTGGGTTTTGCGCACTTGGCGCTGCTGCTGCATTCACTCTGCCGCGCGCGTACCGGTTCCGCGATGGTTCTGTGTCGCCTGCGCGTCTGATGAGTCCGCCAGCACCGGCAGCAGCATGTCCTCGCGGAAGATCTCCTCCGAATCTTTCAGCTCCATGGGCTCGGACTACCTGGAGAGCCCCGGAGAGGACGGAGAGTGCCCGTTCTCGCGCGTCTTCTGGAACGGCAGGAGCCCCGTGGAGACGCTCTCGTGTCCGTTCGAGGACGCGGCCGTCAGCAGGAGGATCGCCCGGCGTAAACGCGTCAATCTGGACTCTCTCGGGGAGAGTTTGAGACGCCTCACCTCACCGACGGTACCGAGCCTTACCTTACAAATTTACATTCAATTCAACATATGTGTGTGTGTGTGTTCATCTGCAAAAACACATAACTCGGTTTTAAACAATTTTCAAAAATCATGTTTTTTCATTGTGCGTTCCAATTAATCTCAATCAAACTCCAGTTGGGTTATTGTGATTAAGTAAAAATAACTAAAAAATACAGCTAACTAACACAATAAATGACAATAAAAACATGATAACATAACAAAAAACATGATTTTGTATGTATATATACAGACAGCACTTAGTGGCTTTTGCATCTGAACTCTTCATATATATATATATATATATATACACACACACACACACACACACACACACACACAGATGTGTTCTTAACTGTCTATCCACACACACAAATACACATGTACATATACGCAGATGTGCTCCTGCTGTTTTCTCTTCAGAAACTCGGTGTATAATGTACATATTTATAGATATATATGCAAATATATGTGGGTGTTTATATAAAAACATAATGTATATATTACTATAAATATATAATTGATGCACATCAATGAAGAGAAAACAGTGTGATAGAATCTAGTGTATGTGTATATATGTATATACTGTATACACACATTACAGTAAATACTATATGTAAATGATGCTAGAGAGAAAATGGTATATGTGTGTGTGTGTGTGTGTAAATATATATATATTAAAATCAAAGATGATATATGTTTGTGTATAGATCGATGGATATATGGTGTGTAGGATATTTTAAGGCATAAAGCACGTTTTCCTGTTAAAAAAATAAAAATTATACAATAGACTTATAGTATAGATAAATAGATGGATTGGTGGTATCTATCTATCTATCTATCTATCTAGGGTTGAGAATATATATGAACTATCACTAGTGAAATACATCCACTCTCTCTAACCATTTACACCGGTAGTCTAGATGCAGTTAGAGTACTGATGATGATGATGGATTTGACTCGGTGCGTGAGAGCGGATTATACGGCTCGTAAATCTCCTCCGAACAGCAGAACCGGTGGCAGTGCAGATGTCTGAGAGCCCGATCCCTCACACCGTCTTATATTCATAGAGTGTGTGTGTGTGTGTGTGTGTGTGTGTGTGAATGGAGAATCAATGTAGAGCATGCTGTGGTTGTTCAGGTCCTACTGTGTTGTGTGTGTGTGTGTGTCAGCATGTATACATATTCATCATGTGTAGAGCAGAAGAGTGTGCGTGTGAAAGGGCAGGATAACTTCTCGGTACACTGGTCCCTGGTGCGTTTTGTCTCAAAGAAACACACACACTGTACCGCAGAGCTGCGATAGCACATGCATCTCTGCATCAGAATGTTCTTGTCCTGAGATTCACTCCAGTGGATTTACTGTGTGTGTGTGTGTGTGTGTGTGTGTGTGTTGTACTAGGCACTTGACAATGTGGTTCATAGCAAACCAACTGCTCCAATGGCATAAATCCAGAATGTGTGTGTGTGTGTGTGTGTGTGTGTGTGTGTTTTAGCTGGATTATATGTAAAACACTCAGACCAGCTGTATACTGACATAAATCCATGTTTTTTTATGCACTGGTCAGTTTTGAGATTTTTGCGTATTTAGCTTCCTTAACATGTCTTCTTTCAGACTAGCGTAAAGAAAACATCCAAAACACACATTTAAGTGTTTATTTTATTACACTTTATCTGTTTGCATCTGTAGATTTCAATTACAATACACATCTTTACATGCATGTAAATTCTCTCTTAAAACTTTATTGTTGAATAATTTTTTTTAACATTTTACAATAAGCTTTCACTTGTTAACATTAGTTAATGACATCAGTTAACATGAACTAACAATTAAAAAAACTTCTAAAGCATGTAGTTAAAGTTAATTCCAACATTTACAAAAATATTAATAAAATCAGATGTTGGATTGGTTAATATTTAATGGACCTGAGCTGACATGAGCAAACACTACTGTTAACTAATGAAACCTTGCTGTAAAATATTACCATTTTTTGTCAACTACAGTGTTATGTACACTAAAAGAAATTTGGTGTAAAAACAACTTTCATTTCTCAAATTGCTAGTAAATTTTACAATTAATTACAAAGAAATGGCACGTAACATTTAATTATGCATGTTATTTAGAAGGAGAATGACTGAAATTGTATTTTCATGAATCCAGTAAAAAATTACTTAACTTCAATTTTTGTTTACCGTGTACACACACACACACACACACACACACACAAATTCTCACTCGGAAATTACTAGTAAATTTTACATTTAATTACAAAGAAACAGCAAAACACAATTAGCCTAAACAAAATTTTGAAGTAGAAAGACTAAAATAGTATTCTTGTAAAACATACTCCAGTAATCTGTTTTATTTACAACTTTAAAAAATATTATTTATATTTATTTATGTATGTATTTATTTATTTACAGTGCAAGACAGGTTGTTTAACTATGACATCAGCATCGTCTGATCATCAGTATTTTCTGTAGTTTTCACTCACAGCAGCGGATTATGTTTGCATGTCAGTTAAATTTGGGGATTAGACAAAACAAATGTTCACTGAACGCACACTAACACGCTCTTTAGAAGATAACATTGATCCTTTGTTTTGTGTGTGTGTGTGTGATAGAGATTTACACTGAGTTTATAGAGCTCTGCAAACAATAAAAAACTCTGTTGCAGAAGCTAGCCAACTGCCTACATAGACAACATTTTAGGCAACATATACTCCTCCTGATGCAAAGACTGATCCCAAAGTGACTTCATGATGCTTTCTATAACTAGTTTAAGTCGAAATCTAAGATATTGTTGCATGAAGGCAATCCCAACATGCATTGCAGCAATGCTTTTGAAAGAGGTCTTATCAAACATACAGTAAAAACAGTAATATTGTGAAATATTATTACAATTTCAAATAACTGTTTTCTACTTGAATATATATTAAAATGTAATTTATTTCTGTGATCAAAGCTGAATTTTCAGCATCATTACTCCAGTCTTCAGTGTCACATGATCTTCAGAAATTATTCTAATATGCTGATATGCTGCTCAAGAAACATTTCTGATTATTATTCATGCAGTTTTGTCATTCAGTCATCTTTTGTGGAAACTGTGATGCTTTTTATTTTTCAAGATTCGTTGATGAATAGAAGGTTCAAAACAACAGCATTTATTTGAAATAGAAATCCTTTGGAACATTATAAATGTCTTTATTGCTCATTTAATGCATCCTTGCTGAATAATAGAAATAATTTCAGATGACTACACAAAGAATGAAGAAAATGAAGCCACTTTAAAGACCAGAAAGATTAGTATTATTTTCACAACAATCAAGGTAATTTGCCCTCACCTTCTCATTACCATAATGCGTTTGATTATAATTCTTTTAGTATAAATCAGATTTAATTTCTCCAGAGAGAGAGAGACTGCTGTGAGATCACTAAAGCAGATTTGGCCAGGTAAAGCTGGATTTGAGCTATTAAGAGCTTTCCTGAAATGAGGAGGATTTTGATTGGAATATTGTTGCCGTGGTAGCGTGATAAAGGCAGTTGATTGGATAAGGCTTAAGGGTGTATTCTATTACAGGTAGATCAGCACTGTAAATCCCTTTAAAAAGCGCCAAATCACACAAACACGGCACAAACAGACAAATCCAATAGAGACTATCGGTTTACCATCACCTTTTACTCCATTCACGAAATGGAGAACTTAGTTTAATTAGTTAGAACTTAAACTGCAGCTCTGTGCAACTTATTACTGAAAAAAGTGGCGTAGAAACAATTTTCAGAATCAGAAATTGCTAGTAAATTACACAATTACAAAGAAATGGTAAGTAACACATTGAAACAGTAAAGTAGTATGTTCTTGTTAAATATAGTATTCCAGTTATTTTTGTTTTACTTACAACTTCGAAAAAAAAACATTTTTACAGTCATTTTTAATAGGCTATGTGCAGCCAAAGAATCAGGCATCAATGAATTTCCATTGAGAAAATACTTGTTTTGTTTTTTTAAGCAACTGCATGTATTTTTATTTTATTTTTTGACTTTGGAACCTCCTACAGTTAAGCGATTGGAATCCACTGTCGTAAATATAGGCCTACCACTGTCGTAATTACAGCGGTTGTACCATAGACTGTACACGTGCATTTGTTATTGCCATAAACCAATCCGTTCTTTTCGCGGAATTTCGTACCCGCTCGTCAAACTTACACACTCCCAGAAAAGATGTTTGGGGAAGAGTGTGAAAGTTTTGAAACTGAAATTTCAGTAAAAAAAAAAAAAATACATACAGTTGCTTTAACTTTTGATTTTGTTGTGTCTGGTGTCTTTTAAATCCGTTTAAATTAGATCCCGCCAAAGGAGCTCTCCAAGCAGAGCAGTGTTTGGACAAGTGCGATGAGAATGCTGTTGTTTACCAGTTCAGTCGTTTCTTACTCGTGAATCTGTGTCGAGCAACTTCTGACTGCATTGTTATTCTTCTTTTTAGACCCAGACAATTCAGCTGGCCCTGCAGAGAACAGTGGAGTTTTACAGACAGAGGGAAATAAGGTACATCCATAATGTCTTAGAGAAATTAGACATAATTTATGTCTCAGTTGTTTCTCCTAGACAGTAGCCTATTGAGAAAATAGTTTCAGATCTCAACAGCATCTCAAATTATACCAACACTAAAGTCTGCAATCAAAAAGACAAGTCTAAATATGAACTTAGACGTATAATCACCTTATTTTTAATGTAAGGCTGGCCGCGGCAATTAGTGACTTGAATGTGCGGGACTTCCGGTCTCATTCCATTCAGTTATTTGACCTGTAGAAAAACTGTTATGCTGCTTGATATTGCAAATTGGTATTTGTTATCATATAATTTTTATGTATTTATTAGTAGTGTAGTTTTACTCTTTATTGCACACTGTTATTCTAGTCATATCTGTAGCGAATGAATCGGAAGTGTCGCACATTCACAGGACATTGTTTACAATGTTTACAAAACCCTTGTTATTGCAAGATAAGGTGGATGCTCTTACAATACTGTATTTTCACACCAAATTCACATTTAAAACGAATTTAATTTCCTGTGATGCAAAATAATAAAACAAAGTAACCAATTTTGAACACTAGATCTAATTATATAGTTTCAACGTTTTAGGTTTTTGTCAAAAGTTGGTGTTTGTAAAATGTGTGCTGTTTTCTTTACAAGAAATGAGAATACGTTTTGAAATTTTGTACAAATGTGATGACATGCATTATAAAGCAAATCTCACCTGACTTAAAAAAAAAAAAAACATATATATTTTTTTAGCTCAAATCGTATGTATTATTGTTGGACGGTTTTTCATTTAAAGTTGAATATAAAAGTATGTCTAAATTTATCCTCATACAATACACTCATGTAAAACAATACGATATAGCAAATCTCAACTGCCTGATTTTTTTTTTGTCTCAAAATGTAACTATACTATCATCTAGCTCTTTATGTAAAGTTAGATGTATTAGCATGTCCGACTTTATCTGCATGCATACAGTATATTTACGTACAGCGATATATATACTACATAGTAACTATAGTATTATCACCCAGCTCCAATCTGCTAAATGTGACTAAAAGACTTTAAGATATGAATATGTTAAAAATGTTAACATCATGATTTTCTGTTTTGAAGCATTGTGTATTGTGAATAATGCTATACAAATAAATTTGACTTGACTTGACATGCAAACATTTAGAAGTGAGACTTAAGAGTCCAAATACTTTTTTGGGTTTCATTTATTTCTATTTTTATTCATCCATAGGAAGTTGAAATGCAAATTTAAATGGATGAAATTAAGACCTTCAGTTCTCCTCAGATATGAACTCTAAGCTATAATATTTTCTTTTGATATTTTGGTTACCCTTTTATCTACTCACACCCTGGTAAATGTTAATCAAACTCTCTTTCTCTTGCAGTGGACAAGAGTTTGTAGGAAGCTTGTCAGATGAGCAGAAGTGTTTGTTTGAGCATTCTCGCTGTGACAGCCAGACTGACATCTCAGGAATACTGAAATACACAGCAACTATTTTAGGTAAGTACAAACTAGGGCTGCTCAATCAATCGAAGAAATCAAAATCACAATATGACCTTGTGGAATTATTCAAACTTAAAATGCTGCAATTTAATTTAATACATACAGTATATGTCATGCATGCCTCAGAGTAATATTCTGTATGCACTTTGCATACGCAAGCATGCATGGAACTTTTTATATTGTTTCAGTATTTGAATTTAGATTTTTGTCTGCAAAGTGGTTCACTTTAAGCATGCAATGACAACATAAAGTGCATCATTTTGCATCGTAAATGCAATATTTCTCATGATTTTTGACCAAATCGTGCAGCTGTGGTGCGCACACACACGAAACGGCAAAACTTTGACCTCAATACACACTCACTGACACTTTCCTAAAAACTCCCTCCATTGCTGCAGTCTCCATTCCCGAGCTTGTTGCTAAGATACTAACTCTGCCATCCCTAACGAGAACACGTTTATAAATAAACCGCAATGAGCCATTTGAACTGAGCCCTACCCAGCTAAACCTACTGCGCATCTCGCGTTTATGCAGCAGAGCCGCAGCGTTTCACGACGCGCTTGTGCTGCAGCGATTGATTATTTTGGTAATCGATGGTTTCGCTGGGGGCCAGACCTTTAAACTTTCCATCTTTATGTAAAAGCATGTTTATAAACCAGATAGTTCTGCTAAATACAGATCGCATGAGTCGTGTTCATTCCGATGTAAATGTCAGTAATAATCTGTGACTGTATGTTACATGTTAAAACGCAATGCTGCTACATTTATTAAAGCAATAATCCACTCGACGACATGCTATATTACCTCTCAAGTGCTGCATTGCTTTTACTCAAAGGTTACTGCATAATACAAATATTAATTCATTTAAATATAGGCTACACCACTGTTCAAATGTTTGGGGTTGGTAAATTTTTTTCATGTTTTTAATAAGAAGTCCTCTTATGAAGTCTCTTAAGCTTGTTTCTACTATGGAAAAAAAAATGTAAAAGGTAATTGCGACTTTTTATCTCTCACTTCTGACACACTTTTTTTTATCTCACACTTCTGCAATTGTGAGTTTACATCTCGCAATTCAGAATTGTTTTTCCTCTGAATTTTTTTCCTCTAAAGTTTATATCTCGCAGTTCTGATTTTTTTTATTCCACCACGGAAATGACAACTTTTTGTGTCACAATTCAGACTTTTTTCTCGCATTTGCAAGTTTACATCTAACAGTTGAGTTTCTATTTTAGAATTATGAATTCAGAATTGCGAGAGCAAAAGTCAGAATTGTTAGATAAAAAGTTGCAATTACATTTTTATGTTTTTTTAAATCCAATAATAGAAACAAGCTTCCATACTTCTGCTCACCAAGGATTCATTTATTTGATCAAAAATACAGTCAAAACAGTAAAGTTATGATGTATTATTACACATGATATTAATATGCTGATTTGCTGCTGAAGAAACATTTCTGATTATTATCAGTGTTGAAAACGGTTGTGCTGCTCAGTATTTTTGTGGAAACTGATACATTTTATTTTTCAGGATTCTTTGATGAATAGAAAGTCCAAAATAACTTTTGTATATTTATAAATGTCTTTACCGTCACTTTTGATCAATTTAATGCATCCTTGTTGAACAAAAGCAATAATTTCTTAAAAATAATATTAATAATTTAACAAATAATTAAATTATAATGTATTATTATTATTAGTGTTAATTATTTATTTTTAAAAATCTATTTTGAACAGTAATGTATTTTTTTAAATTAAAAGATTATTAAGCAAATTGATCATTTTTTGCATTATTTTTCACAGGCGTGGACTTTTCCGACATCCGTGGCCGATTTGGGGAGGAATTCTTCGGTTTGTGCCTGGAGGAGAACGAGAGGGTTCTGCGAGCTCTCGGAGGAAACCTGCAGGACTTCTTCAACGGTTTCGACGCACTTCTAGAACACATCAGAACGTCCTGCGGCCGCCGAGCATCGTCCGAGGCTCCTTCTTTCCTATGCAAAGACGCTCCTCAGGAGAGCGAAGAGACGAACGCGGAGAGCGACGTGGGACGGACTCTCCTCCTCCACTGCTTCAACCCCGATCCTACTGTGGGCGTGGCCATGCCGGGCTTAATCCGGGCCGCCGCCCGTCGCATCTACCAATCGGACGTTTCGGTGGAGGAAGCTCCTCCCACGTGGCTGCACACGGCCAATGAGGACGGCGAGCTCTCGACGGACTCCTCCCCCTCTTCATCCCCATCTCCGCCCTCGTCTTCATCTCCTGCCTGTTTGTCCTTCCTCATTCGAGAGGTTCGGACTCAACCCGCATCCTCGTCGTCGCACACCGCCGCCACATCTCGCCAGCTGTCGCGCTCGCCGCTGGATTTGCGCATCGGTCTGAGCACGTTTTGCCGGGCCTTTCCCTTTCACCTAGTTCTGGGACCCAACATGGAGGTCCTGCAGGTCGGGGAGGGGCTTCGGAAACAGGCCAAGAGCGACCAGCACCGGACGCTCACCTTCAGCAACAGCTTTGAGCTGGTTTCTCCCAGAATCCCCTGCTCCTTCCAGAACATTCTGCTCCGGCTGTCCACGCCGTTCACCATTCGTACACGACCTGACGGGTCGGCACTCGACAGCAGAGAGAAGGTAAGAGAAGTAGTTTGGTAAATGATGTGAATTTGTGTTTGTTTAGGTGCGAAACATGCTCTTATTAAAGGGGTCATATGATGATGCTAAAAATAACATTGTTTTGTGTATTTGGTGTAATGCAATGTGTTGTTATTATTATTATATTCTAATTTGTTTGGCTTCCTAAAACACCAGTGTGAATGTAATTTAGATTGAGACAGTAGGGTTGAGTCCCCTTTAAAGACTTTTTTCTGACTTAAGTTTTCTTAGTTAAGAACATAGGCTGCAGCTCTTAATTTTGAACTCACAAAGTGCATTGGATAGAATAATGTAACTTTAAAATATAAAAAATTTTCATTTGTACTTCATTTGTCTTTTTTTCTTTTTAAATATTGCAATAAATATCTTATCGTGAGATTTTGATATCGTTACATCCCTAGTTTACGCGGTTTAAGATAAAAAAAAACGTACATTATTGTAGCTCCTCTCGCTTTCTGAAGCGCGTCAATTTTTACAAAGCTCATCATTCTGAAAAGTGCGGTGTGCTCTGATTGGCCAGCTATCCAGTGCGTTGTGATTGGCCGAATACCTCAAGCGTGTGACAGATGACAAATGTTACACCGCTTACCATATATGGAAACACAGCGACTCCACGACATGGCGGCGACAACAATACTACAGCGAAAATAAAAGTTACGCCTTCTTTCTTTGCGTAAACATTTGGGCGGCATTATGCAAATCTTCCCACATCGTTACGTAGATATGTGGGGGCGTGTTAGAACGAGGCGTTTTAGGTAGGTGTGGCTGACTCTTAACTTTTATAAAGAATATATTTTTGGATTTGAGACTTTAGTCTTTGCAACTTTAGGGATCTTATCTATTCACGAACAGCTTGTAACACTCCAAAGACAAAGGAAAACTTGAAATCGCATCATATGACCCCTTTAACTCAACAGCATGTGCTGCCCAATGCTTTCAGCTCAACAACTGTCCAGCTATGCTATTACACCCCAAGTCTAGGGAACAAGAAGGGCATAATAGAAATAGGATTGGTGATGGATTCCCAAACAAATTAAAGAAGAAATCGGTCAGGAACCAAACAAGCACACCATTTACTTAAAACAAAAACTGTTATGATTAGTAAAGGAGAACAAGAGGGAAAGAAAGAAACAGAGCAGTACAATACAACAAAAGGAAATACCAACAGAAACGCTCTCGTAACATATGCTAATTGAAGCTACGTCATATTTTAGTCAGCAATAATTTGACCAAATACATGTTTTGTTTTGTTTTTAACTCTGATTCAGACCGTTTTGCAACCCGCTTGAGCTAAAAAATTATTCATTCAGAATTTGTGAAAAAAAAAAAAATTATTATTGAAATAAAGCTTAAAAAAAAAGAATATAGAAGTTGAAAAAATTAAAGTAATTTTTGAAATGTTGCCTTGGCAACTAAAATAAGTTTTAAGTTGAAGTACTAAAATTACTTGAAATATTGAAATGCATTTTTGTTAATTGAAATAAAGATAAAATATCAATATTATAAAAACCTTAAACTAAAAGTACATTTTCTGAAATGTAGCTATGGCAACTAACTGAATTAAGTTAAAAATGACTAAAATTGCTAACTTAAATATTTATGAAATTAAACTATTTAGAAATATTTGTGTTTCTCTAGGTCTGAAACACCCCTTTGTTCCTTATTTTTTGTTAACCCAACAACACTGAGCTAATTTAAGATTTAAAGGCACATTTATCACAAGTCAGCTGTAATTTGAAAAAATACATGATTTCATGAATTCAGACTATTTTGCAATCTGTTTGAGTGATTCATTACATTGAACCGACTCCAAAAGGATTCATTCACAATTTGGGCCTCTTAAATAAATTAAATAAATTAGAAATAGCTTTATTAAATGGTAGAATTTTTTTTTTTTGTAAAATAGCTTTAATAGTTGTGTCTTTTACTGTCCACTTTTATTGTTGACGAAAATATAAAAAAAAAATTTTGTGAATTGAAATAAAGCTGACATAAAATATAAATATTGAAAGCTGAAAAACTTAAATGTAAATTTTGAAATGTTTCCTTGGCAGATAACTGAAATAAGTTTAAATTGAAGTACTAAAATTACAAACTGGGAAAAAAATGTAAACAAATAAAAAAATAAAATAAAAAAAAGACAAAAGCGCATAAAAATACCCAAAATTAAACTAAAATTAAAATTAACATGTGATGTTTTTTAGCACTGGTGCAACAAAATATATATCAAAGTCAACTCTCATGAAACAGTGAAAATGCATTAAAGTTAATTAACATTTACAGTGACCCATATGTAGATCAGCTTCCTTCATAATCCTTTAATTGGCTGGAAAAAAATCCCAGGTCTCCCACTAATAATTACAACACTGTGGTGGTGTTCGTGTCCGCTCGTCTCATAAATACAATCATCCTGACATGACTTGAAGGCAGCGTTAAACAGTGGGAACGTGTCCTAATTACAGAGTTTGCCATCACTGAAAGCTGTTGCCAAACCCGCAGGATTATTTCCTAAATCTGCGCAGATTATTATGAAATGATTTGGACATGAGCTGCAGCTTATGTTCTGATGTGGTTCACCCTGGAGAGGAGCTCTACCAAACACACACACAGGGTTTTACAGACACCACCTGCCTTAATGAAATGAGAAGATTTGGTTTGTGTGTTTAGGCTCAGCGCTGGCAACCGAAAGGTCGCTGGTTCGAATCCCATGAGGAGGAGTAGTTTGTAAAGCTTTTAATATAGATGTACGTAATACATCTGCACTGCAAACGCAAATATTTAAACATGTAAAAAAAATTGTGTTGATTTGTCAACAGTGAATCTTTATTGAAAAATTTCTTTGCAATCCCTATGGAGAAAATGAATGGGAACCCAGATTGGTTTTGCTTCAAAACCCAGATTTCAGTGGTATTGAATCAAAAATATTCAAATGTAATTCTAAATAAATAATATTCAATAATATACAAAGTTGACAAAATGTTATTTTAGTATCCCTGAGATACTATTATAGTTTTTATTAATATTTTTAATTAGTTTTTATTTTTATATTTTCCTTTTTAATTAAAATTTTAGTTGTTTTAGTGATTTTGTTTTGTTTTAAAATAATTTTTTTAATGACTTATTTATTATTTTCATTAATATTTTGGATTCATTTTTATTTTTTTATTTTCTGCTTTCTTTTTAATTTTAGGTATATTGAATAGAAGTCTTGGTAGTTTTGTTGTTTGTTTTTGTCTTTTTATTTCTCTATAGTTTGAATTATTATTATTTATTTATTTTTGTGTGTATGTCAAAGTTAAACAAAATTAAAAAAAAAAATTAGAAATGTTGCCTTGGCAATTACCTGAAATTATAACCTTTTTTTTTTCTTTAATCAGAACCTGGATTTCTGGATTTATTGAAATCCTTAAAAATTATTAATATTTCCATGAACTTAATAGAATATGCAATAATATACAAAATGTATAACTTGACAGGCTGAACAGGGAAATTGACAATATTCATTTAATTTCTTTTTATTTCAGCCTTTTTTCTATATAGGAGTCAAAAATACGATACAAAATTATGAAAGTACTGGATACATTCAATTCAGCAAAATTTTTAAACAAATCCTGTCTTTTTATTGTGCTATCCTAACTATGCATTTCCATAACTGGTTGCATTGTATTATTCTCATTTCGCATTTTTCCTGCTGTCACATCAGAGCTGAAACTCTTTGCTCAGTGATGAATTGGAGAGTTTGGTCTCGGTTCCACGTCATTTAGCAGCAGCTTGTATTTTTACCCAGAGTAAGCTGCAGGGTGCTGATGGCAAGAACAGGCTGTCCCGCCGGAGACATCAGTGCCTCGCTCTGGGGTACAGTGGTGATTGTGTTTGGAGAAACTTAGGAACAAAGCACTTTTCTTCAAGCTGTGTGTGTGTGTGTGTGTGTCCTGAAGCTGCTTACTGGACTGAGGATGATAAATGTGAACAAATATGAATAAACAGCATAACACCGTGTCAGCACTAAAAGAGTGTGATGCAATGTGACAAAAATAGATTATAATCAACGGTGTGGACAGCTGCATTCATTATCATGGGAGTGCTCTAGTTTTGTTTTATCACATCACATTGCATTTCTCAGTGTTAATGTAATAGTATTATTAATGTTATTTTATGTTTTATATTTTTATTGTGCAATAATATTAATTAAAAAAAATGATTAGTGTTTATTTTAATTTAAGTTTTAGTAGTTTTGTTGTGTGGTTATGCATTTTTTATTTCTCTATATTTGTATTATTTTTTATTTATTTAATTATTTATGTATTTATTTCATTATTTATTTATTGTTTCAGTACATCAAGGTAAACTAAATGAAAATGAGAAATGTTGCCTTGGCAGTTACCTGAAATACAACAAGTGTTTTATTTATTTATTTATAATTATTGAATTATTTCAATTATATTTTATTTCAGTTAATGTGATTTTATTTAAAATAAGAACAATTTTTATGGTCTTATATTTTGACAAGTGTAAGTATCATTACCCTGGTATGATGCAACAAAAACTAAATCTGTCTTAAATAATGTTTAAGAACAGAAATAATGCTAAATCTAAATTCACTGTACGTAAAAATACTACATAAAAAATTGTGCATCTCTGCTTCCATTTTCAATTAATATTGACCAAGATTAATTCAGATCAGTGTTATTTTAGTATTATTTATATACTGTTATAGTTTCTTATTGATATTTTGCATTGTAATATTTTGCAGTTCATTTAGTTTAAGTTTTTGCAATTTAGTTTTGTGCTTATGTAATTTAAATGTTTGTTCTTTTTAAATATTACAATTTAGGTATAATTTATTAATGACTTCATTTAATATCCCTGTATCTGATTTTTATTTCAGTTTTAGTTTATTATTTTTTTCCAGTTTTTTTTTTTATTTGAGTGGTTCTACTTATCTGCTAGCTTTCTTTTAATTAACATTTAAATATTAA